GAGAACACAGAACCAAGGAAATGTCAGCATGTTGTTGTTGTTTTTTAAAAGTCATGCTGGAAAAGAACAGGGATATCTGGGAAGGAGAGAGGGAGGAGGAAGGGACCTTCTGGACGCCAGCCTTCATCCAAGTTCGCAATGCTGCCTGCGAGGAATGCATCCGCTAGACAGCTCCGGCAGATGGGCTCACCTCTTGCCAAAAACACCATCTTGGTTGCTTTAGGACAAAAGATAGGGAGTGCTGGAGCTTTTGCTGAGCTCTGTGGGCCAGCAACCAGATCGGGAGCCTCTGACAGCTGGAGGAAACATCTGGAATGTTGACAATGGGGAGGGAAAGAAGGGAGACAAGGAAAAGAGAAGTCCAGAAGTTATCTCCCGCTTGGACTACTGCAACGCGCTCTACGTGGGGCTACCTTTGAGGGTGACCCAGAAACTACTACTAATCCAGAATGCGGCAGCTAGACTGGTGACTGGGAGTGGCCACTGAGACCACAAAATACCGGTCTTGAAAGACCTACATTGGTTCCCAGTACGTTTCCGAGCACAATTCAAAGGGTTGGTGCTGACCTTTAAAGCCCTAAACGACCTCGGCCCAGTATACCTGAAGGAGCGTCTCCACCTCCATCGTTCTGCCCAGACACTGAGGTCCAGCTCTGAGGGCCTTCTGGCAGTTCCCTCACTGTGAGATGCGAGGTTACAGGGAACCAGGCAGAGGGCCTTCTCGGTAGTGGCACCTGCCCTGTGGAACGCCATCCCATCAGATGCCAAAGAGATAAACAACTATCTGACATTTAGAAGACATCTGAAGGCAGCCCTGTTTAGGGAAGTTTTTAATGACTGATGTTTTAATGTATTTTTAATCTCTTGTTGGAAGCCGCCCGGAGTGGCTGGGGAAACCCAGCCAGATGGGCGGGGTAGAAGTAATAAATTATTATCCAGTGGCTTGCGCTTTTTCTTTTTTTACTCTTGTCATATCTCTGGTTGGTCCTGAACAGGCCTTAGGGGAATCAATCCCTTTCAGGCTCGTTTTCCCAAAATCTGTAAAATGGGAATAAGGTTAACCTTCTTGAGTACTTGTTTTACTCAAGTTTCTTGCCTGGTCTTCACCAGAAGGTCCCAGCAATTTTTAAAAGCGCTACTCAAAATTGTTGGCCTGCGTACGGGTGCCAGTCCATTAGCCGTTGGCTGACCGCAGCCCAGGTTGGGTGGGATGGCTCAGGGACCAAATGCGGTCCCTTGGCGCAATGGAGCAGGGCTTGCCAATCCGCCACATCAGGTAGCTGAAGAAGCACTGGTTTAAAGTGCAACAAGCAAATCGGTTTGAAGCAAATGAAAATCAAAGGAACAGGGTGCCTCCTACATATATCTATATCGATGTAAGGTGTCAGAAGGCAGAGGAAAGAGGGGCACACCTTCAGCATGCAGCAGAAACAATGAAGGGGAACGGAAAAGACGGCTGCACTGACAGCTACGGTTCCAGACACATTTCAAGGAAACTCTTTATCGTCAAGGAGAACATTTCACGCTTCGTAATAAAACTGCTTAAGAAGGGAATTCTGCTGCAGCAGACTGCCTAGGTGAGCGGCAGAAAACCAAAGTCGCGAAGCATCTCTGTCTTTGTATTTGGTGAATGTTTTCTTCTACAGCCAGATCCTTTTCCTTTGGGGTTCAAGAGGCTAAATATATTCATAAAACACAAGGCGTATACAAGTTTGCAGGGCATGGGAACACAGCACCCAGAACCCCAGCAATCCATGCCTCACATCTGGGCTCTCATGTGGGCACACGACTTTTTGCTGCTTCTGTAGCTTTGCAGATCTAGGCAAAGGGCTTGGCAAGGGGCCGAAAAGCACTTGTGTGCAGACTTAGCTATGTTCGTGACTTAGAAGAAGTATCATTATTCAAGAATACTTCCTTGTCCCGAGGCTTGAGAGCTGGGGAAAAAATGTGTTTTGGAGAAGGGAGAAGGATTTGGGTCAGGAGGGGAGAGAGGCACTGCGAACCAGGAAGGCAAGACGTGGGGTTTTCTTCTGCATGGAGTCGAAGCAATACTGAGACTGAGACACACACACACGGCATGGCCCACATGGCAGCTGGGCTACTCAAAGCAGTCCAGATGACTCTCCTTTCAAAGACCCACCTTTGGCTGGTATTTATCAACCTTTGCCAACCTGGTGCCCTCCAGATGTTAGATTCTTAAGAGTTATAAGGGACCGCTTAAGAGTCATCTAGTCCAACCCCTTGCAATAATAATAACAATAATAACAATTTATTATTTGTACCCCGCCCATCTGGCTGGGTCTCCCCAGCCACTCTGGGCGGCTTCCAACAAAGATTAAAAATACATTAATGCAGGAATCGCAACTAAAGCACCCAATGTTGCTGGACTACAACTTCCATCAGCTCCAGTTGGCACAACCACATCTGGAGGGCACGATTCGGACTCTTAAAAAGGCACACAAAACTTTCCTTAAACGGGAAGGTAGCAAACACAATGGAAAAGAACCATGCAAAAGCCAGATGGCCAAAAACGAAGGAAACATCTAAAGGGAAACTTAGAGGCATCTGCTAGAAGACTCAGAAACCAGCCCAGTGTCTTCTGCAACTAGCGACATGGTGGTTTTCAAAGCTACAAACAACCCCAATGCATTCTGATCCTAGAGAGCAATTCAGAGCTCCCACCACAACTTTTGAGGAATGATGCGGCTTTCCTTCCTGCCCATATCTGCTAATTCAAGGGACCAGCTGTCCAAAGGCAAAGGCTGCCATTTAATGTTTATAAGAAGTTGGGTTCAACTTTAGCAAGCCAGTCTTTTACCCTCATCCCTCAGAGCTAAACAGTGCGTTTACTTAAAAGGGAGCATTTAAACAAGCATACAAACAAACCGACCAATGCTCTTAAACTTCAGCCACTTCTCCTCTCTGTCACCCTCCTCCACACCCAAACATCAATTCAATTCAAAAACAGTATTCTAAGGAATCTTACAGATTTCTTGTGTCTCTCCTTGCGGCTCTTGCCTTCGGACGAAAGCCTTGGGGACTCTCATCTCGGAGAAAATCGGAAAGCTTTATCAATAAAATCTGCACACGGTCTCGTGGTGTAGTGGTTAAGAGCAGTGGACTTGTAATCTGGTGAACCGGGTTCGCTTCCCCGCTCCTCCACAAGCAGCTGCTGGGTGACCTTGGGCTAGTCACACTTCTCTGAAGTCTCTCAGCCCCACTCACCGCACAGAGTGTTTGTTGTGGGGGAGGAAGGGAAAGGAGATTGTGAGCCGCTTTGAGACTCCTTAAGGTAAAGGTAAAGGGACCCCTGACCGCTAGGTCCAGTCGTGGCTGACTCTGGGGTTGCGGCGCTCATCTCGCTTTATTGGCCAAAGGAGCCGGCGTACAGCTTCCAGGTCATGGGGCCAGCATGACTAAGCCGCTTCTGGCGAACCAGAGCAGCGCACGGAAATGCCGTTTACCTTCCCGCCAGAGTGGTACCTATTTATCTACTTGCACTTTGACGTGCTTTCGAACTGCTAGGTTGGCAGGAGCAGGGACCGAGCAACGGGAGCTCACCCTGTCGTGGGGATTCGAACCGCCGACCTTCTGATCGACAAGTCCTAGGCTCTGTGATTTAACCCACCTGCTTCCCTTTGAGACTCCTTAGGGTAGTGATAAAGCGGGATATCCAAACTCTTCTTCTTCTTCAGCTCAAAGTACAGGATGCGCGATTTGAAGCATGATACATGGCTTGGCATAACAAAATACCTCTAATTTTAAAGAGCAGGGTGCGGCCCATCAATTGCAAGGCACTCGTCACAAACCAGAAGGCTGGGCTTAAAAGTGTGCACACCGGAGTGTGGAGCTGTGTCAGTTTGCATGACACGGATGGCGACCGGACCCCCTCCCTGAACTAGCCCTGCCAGCTCTGCCTCCCCTTCTGTGACCCACGGCAGGACTAGGTCGCAGCTTGAGCTGCATACCCCCCCACTCACACCTTGGGACCCCGCTCTGACACAGACAAACATTCCTGCCCCATCCCAGCTGGTGTCACAGGGCCCTTGACAATGCCAGAATTCCCTTAGCTAAAAGCAGTTAATACAGAAATGTTCCATGTCTCCCTTCCCAGCTTGCGCTGTTGTTGCAGAGGGAGAAAGGCGAGCACATTCTGGCCCTGGCCAGCTGGAAAGGAGATCTAACTTGGACTGCACCGGAAAAAGGAAGTCTATCTGGACAGCACACATCTGGACAGACAACATGCAGCTGGTACAATGTCTCTCTCAAAGGGCAATAGCTTAGTTTAAACAGAGTACAGGACACGCATCTTGCTTTTATTTTAGAAAGCATTGTTTACGAACTTCTGGTTTCTTAGTTGTTCACTAAAGGTAAAGGTAAAGGGACCCCTGACCATTAGGTCCAGTCGTGACCGACTCTGGGGTTGCGGTGCTCATCTCGCTCTATGGGCCGGGGGAGCCGGCGTTTGTCTGCAGACAGCTTCCTGGTCATGTGGCCAGCATGACTAAACCGCTTCTGGCGAACCAGAGCAGCGCACGGAAACGCCGTTTACCTTCCCGCCGGAGTGGTACCTATTTATCTACTTGCACTTTGATGTGCTTTCGAACTGCTAGGTTGGCAGGAGCAGGGACTGAGCAACGGGAGCTCACCCCGTCACAGGGATTCGAACTGCCGACCTTCTGATCGGCAAGTCCTAGGCGCTGTGGTTTAACCCACAGCGCCACCTGCGTCCCTAGTTGTTCACTGCTCTGCTCCAAATGAGTGTTTCCAAAGCAGCATTTGAAAACAGAGAGGCTTCTCCTCGTCAGTCACTTGTGAGTCAGAAACCTCACCTGCCTTGGGCAGGACAGGCCTTGGGCCCCATCCTTCTCCTCTCCAGAAGTGCTCATATGTCGACCTGTAGAGGCCTGTTCCCCAAGAGGCCACAACTCCCAGCCTCCCCTTCCTGTGGCCTTCCACCCTGTTACATTTGCATGCAATGCCGCCATTGCTCTCTTTACCTTTCTGCAGCCGTGGTCCTCTTCTTCTCTTCCCTGGCTCACACGGCCACGCTTCTTGCACACGGAAGGCAACGTCAGGTTGCAAGGGCTGTCATTCCACCTCCCCTCCTGGACAGAGAGAGGCAGAGAAGTCCCAGCTCAAGGAAAAGAATTCCCCACAGTAAGCAGCAACTTCAAAACACGCAACCCAAAAATGTAAGCCTTCCGCCCTACGGCATATACCCAGTCCATCCTTTCTCCCAACCCAGTGCCCTTCGGATCTTGCTGGACTCAAATTATTTAAATTATTATGCAACTGTGGGGGCACCACCCCTATGTTCTTTTCGGAGCACTAGAATTACTTGCAGTTTGTTCTGCCCTAATCTCACCTTGGTCCAGCAAAAGAGAGCTCCTAAAACGAGCAAAGGAAATAAATAAGTTCATTGAAGGATGCACTGATGAAATTTAATTCTACAGTCATACCTCGGGTTGAATGTACTTCAGGTTGAGTGCTTTCGGGTTTCGCCGCTTGCGCAGGCGCTCAAAATGACGTCATGCGCATGTGCGGAAGCGGCAAAATGCGACCCGTGCATACGCGCCATCGTGTCTTAATTTCCATTCAGGATGCAAACGGGGCTCCGGAACAGATCCCGTTCACATCCCGAGGTAACACTGCATTTAAAAAACAAACACACAGACAAAAACCTCAGGACCAATAGTCCTTTATCGCAGGGAGGTGAACCTGTGGCCTTCTGGATACTGCTAAACTACAATGACCATCATGCTTGACCACTGATCATGCTGGATGGGGCTGATGGGAGTTGGAATCCAACAACATCTGGAGGGCCAAAGCTTCCCCAGCCTTGCCTTATCGGAAGAATTCTGCATAGGTTAGAAGACTTTGATTTCCCCCCACCCCCTAAAAACAGGCTATTTGTCTCTGTGCCCTTCTGCAGCGATACTCCATCTTGCCTGCTCCTCCATTTCAATCTAATTTTCTCCTACACATCCTCACTTTCCACTGATCAGTCCTCAGATCTATTCCCTACCCTTGTTTTACTTAATCAGAATTGCAGCAAAAGTTATTCCCAGGTACAGTAGTGGAAAGGGGGGAAACTCTGTAAGAAAATAAACATATCATTACTGTAAAAAAAAAAAAAAAGGTAAAGGACCCCTGGACGGTTAGGTCCCGTCAAAGGCAACTATGGGGTTGCGGCACTCATCTCGTTTTTCAGGTCGAGGGAGCCAGCATTTGTCCATAGATAGCTTTCTGGGTCATGTGGCCAGCATGACTAAACTGCTTCTGGCGCAACGGGACACCGTGATGGAAACCAGAGCGCATGGAAATGCCGTTTACCTTCCCGCTGCAGTGGTACTAATTTATCTACTTGCACTGGTGTGCTTTCGAACTGCTAGGTTGACAGGAGCTGGGACAGAGCAACGGGAGCTCACCCCTTCAAGGGATTCGAACCGCTGACCTTCCAATCGGCAAGCCCAAGAGGCTCAGTGGTTTAGACCACCTGCGTACCTTACCTTTACTTATCAATACTGTAGGATACGAATGGGGAAACCCAGCCAGATGGGAGGGGTATAAGTAATTTATTATTATTATTATTATTATTATTATTATTATTATTATTATTATTATTCGACCCGAGAACCATATTCCCTTCTGGACCATGTGCAATGGCTGGGTGGTTACCCAGAAAGGAACGCGGGCAGCGCAACATATGTGGATTTTACCTTTGCACAGTACTGTATAGTTTCTTCACATTCATCCATCCCTCTCCATCCCCCAGCAAGGAGCATGCTCAGAGTTAATTCCAGGACCACTGAGGGCTGTGGCCTGGGAAGAAGGGGGTGGGTGGCCTGAGGATAGTCCTGAGGGCCAGAAAGGAGCCTGGGGCCAAATTAAGCCTCTGGGCCTGAGATTCTCACTTGACTGGGGTTTCACCTGGACACTACTACCCAATTTAGTTGTCCACAGGCTCTTACTGTTAGAAGAAAAACCACTTGCATTACACACTTGCTTTGCAGCCAAGTAGGAAAAGGGAGTCATCACTAAGTTTCTTTTTCCGTCCAATCTACTGAAAGGATGAAGGAGCTGACCCAGTTGAATGACGGCCCGCAAAACTGCCTGTTCTTTAAGGCTCTGAATTCCAACAACTATGCTAACTGTCAGCTCAGGAGTTTGCCCAGGAGCCATATTTTAATCTGTGAACAAATATAATTTTCGCCAATCAATTGCAACCTTCAATTCATGAAAGCTTGCATTCCTAAGTGTTGCACGACAGATACGAAGAGGGTTCTATCCTGTATGCTCGGAGCTATGTCCCCTTCTCGTGATGGGTATCCTTCTGAAGGAATGGGTTTCTGTGCAGTCAGTTTGAAACGGGACTCAAAACCCCCCTTTTCTTCTTTCTCCAAGGGAGCATTTCTAAAATGCATTAACTTGAGCTGTTGAGCAAATGCATAACAAGAACACAGCTGTATAAACAGCTCTCTCCTTTATCAGTCACGGCAATGGATGACCTTGGCTGTTCCAGTGGAGTAGGGATGATGCGTCTGGGTCTTATCTTACATCCTGACCACACTCTGACGCACAGACCTAGTCCGGGAACAGCGCCAGAGTGTGTTCTTAGAGTTGGTGACCTCTTGCTCCAAGATAGAGTATAGGAACAGGAATACCCTTTTATGGTCAGGAGTATAGGAAGGAAAACCCTTTTATGGTTAAGAGTACCAGAGCAGGAACATCTGCGATGTCAACCTGCGTGTACAAGCTGACGTGGCTGGATTCCTGGGGAAGGGGGGGAGAGGGTGCCTGGAAGATATATATATACTGCATGAAATTTCTCATTTCTTTGGACTTGCTGTGGACTGACCACGCAAGTGCCTTTCTGTAGCTCCGGAGAGCAGAAATAATAATAATAATAATAATAATAATAATAATAATAATAATAATAATTATTATTATTATTATTATTATTATTATTATTATTATTATTATTAATTTATACCCCGCCCTCCCCAGCCAAGGCCGGGCTCAGAGCGGCTTACAAGCAATAATAAAAAGAAGAAGAATGATTACAACTTAAAAACAAAAATAAAATACAACATTAAAATAATGGAACATTAAAATATTAAAATGTAGCCTCATTGCAGGAGGAGAAGGAAAAGAAAAAAGAAAGAGAGGGAGGGAGGGAATCAAATTGGCTCCAAGCCAAAGGCCAGGCGGAACAACTCTGTCTTACAGGCCCTGCGGAAAGAAATCAGATCCTGCAGGGCCCTGGTCTCATGAGGCAGAGCGTTCCACCAGGCCGGAGCCAGTGTTGAAAAGGCCCTGGCTCTGGTTGAAGTCAATCTAACTTCCTTAGGGCCCGGGACCTCTAGGGTGCTGCTATTTATGGACCTTGAGGCTCTCTGTGGGGCATACCAGGAGAGGCGGTCCCGTAGGTACGAGGGTCCTAGGCCATGAAGAATAAAATAAAATAAAATAAAATATAAAATATAAATATAAAATATAAAATAAAAAATAAAAAATAAAGAACGCTTTCTCTGAACCAACCCTCGGTGTCATTTGACTTCCTTCCTCCCATCCGGGAGCAACGCAGAGCCCACCAATCGGTAAAGTCTAATAAGGCTACACTTCCAGCTCTTACGCATACCGGTCCCCAGATGGTCACGCAGTCCTCCAGGCTGTCTCGGAAATTGTTGGGCTCAAAGGGGTGCCAGAATGTGAACTGCACTGGCGTGCCGTCTGACCACTCAAAGCTCATCTGCCGCTTGAGATCGTTCAGGCCAATCCAGAGCTCTTCGACATCTGCCAAAACAAGCAGGGAAAGGGGGGATTTCTACTAAATGAAGAAAAAAAAATCCTCTTCATCTGCCAGTGACTGCCCCACACAATACACCCAGGCGATACGATACGATATCTTTATTGTCATTGTCCCTTGCAGAACAATGAAATTGAAAACTACATAAAACTACATAAAACTACCACAAACCTACATAAAACTACATAAAAACTACATAAAACTACTACAAAACTACATAAAACATTCAAAAACCCCAAAAAACTTTAAAAACCCATTTTAAAATGCACTATACTACAGAGACCCCTTATGCTGCGTTTAGAACCAGAATTGCATTTGCGTAGAAACTGTTTCTCTGGCGGCTAGTCCTGGCCTTTATAACCCTTTACCTTCTTCCAGAAGGCAGAAGCTGAAAGAGATCATTTCCGGGGTGCGTACTATCCTGCACTATCTCTGCAGCTTTCTTATGACACCTAGCAGCACAGATTTGATCTAAGGTGGGAAGAGTGCACCCAATTATTCTCTCTGCAGTCTTTACAACCCTGGATAGCATTGTTTTTTCCCTGGCCGTGCAGCTCCCAACCAGTTCCCAACCAGCTTTTTCCAACCAGTTCCCTCCGGTTTGTGAGCATTTAGCAAAACACTTGAACCTCTTAAGGACTAGAAACTTGGGGAAGAGGCAAACATAGCTCCCTACAGAAGTAGTGGAGCATTTCCCTGCTGTAGCTCCTCCCCATAACCTTCACTCTCCTCGATTTTGCTCTTCCAGACTGTGACATTTCAAAACGATTTTCCAGACTCCGCGGCATGTTTATCCATTAAACATTTATTCAGTGCTTTAAAAAAAATAAATCCAGATTTTCTAAAAGACTCCCCTTTTAACACCCTGTGCTCGAGGCGAATAGCTTCAAGATTGTCCCCAAAACATCTGGATGGCGAGATGGGAGGGAGGCAGCTTTGTGACTGTCACAATAGCCAGCCAATCAGCATTCTGCACAGCCAGCTTCTCCTGGAGAGAATCAGCTGATCCTAGGCTTGATACATTTTGGAAGTGTGTGCAGATATAAAAGGAGCAACTCTGGTTCTACAGCAGAGTCACTGCTCGATATTCAACTAAGCTTTTGCTCGCATAAAAAAAAAGTTAAATCAGAGATAATCCTCATGTTGTTGTTGTTTAGTCATGTCCGACTCTTCGTAACCCCCTGGACCAGAGCACGCCAGGCACTCCTGTCTTCCACTGCCTCCCGCAGTTTGGTCAAACTCATGCTGGTAGCTTCAAGAACACTGCCCAACCATCTCATCCTCTGTTGCCCCTTCTCCTTGTGCCCTCCATCGTTCCCAACATCAGGGTCTTTCCCAGGGAGTCTTCTCTTCTCATGAGGTGGCCAAAGTACTGGAGCCTCAGCTTCAGGATCTGTCCTTCCAGTGAGCACTCAGGGCTGATTTCCTTCGGAATGGATCGGTTTGATCTTCTTGCAGTCCATGGGACTCTCAAGAGTCTCCTCCAGCACCATAATTCAAAAGCATCAATTCTTCGGCGATCAGCTTTCTTTATGGGATAATCCACATACACACAAGCAAACACACACACAGAGTGTGACACAGAATTGCTTACCTTGCTTGATTTGCTTGGTAACAAACTCCAGTTCGTTGAGGGTGTGGATGCTGACCAGATCCCCTTCGCTCCGCAAGCAGGTCTTTTTGGCATCTGGCCAACTCTTCTTTTCACTGATCAAGCGGTAGCAGTTGGTCTGGAAAGGCTGCCAGCTCGGATCACAGTCAACCTTCACATCAGACTCCACTGCAATTAGGGAAAGCAAAGCTTTGCGTAAGCAGTATCCGGGGAAAGTTGTGGGAGCGATATTTTAATTAGGAGCGCACACCCAAGATCCGCAACCCGGAAAGCAGAAATTTCACACGCCCTCCACGAACAAACTAGCAAGCATCTTCATCGTATAGGTTCTGTCGTGTGCTGAAGAGACACACCTCTTTCACTCTGGCCTCTGTCAATTAATGGGGTTATTGTTTTTTTAAGGACTCACTTCTTCCATACTGTGCTAGTTTTGATTGGAACTGTTTTACTTGTTTTTTTATCATTGCATGCACAGTCGTAACAGCTTAGTTCTCAAACGTTTTGGCTCCCGAACGCCGCAAACCCGGAAGTGACTGTTCCAGTTTGCAAACTATCTTTGGAAGCCGAACGTCCGACAGGGCTTCTGATTGGCTGCAGGAGCTTCCTGCAGAAGTCATGATTTGGTTTCCGAACGTTTTGGAAGTCGGACTTCCGGAACGGATTCTGTTCGAATTCCAAGGTACGACTGTAAACCTTTTCCCTTCTTTTATTTAGTTTTGATTTATTGGGGCCTTACAGGGTAGGCCAGGTCAGAAATCGTAAAAAGTAAATAAATGTATGAATCCAAAAGGCTCCATCTAACAGAGAGCTAATAAAATCCTTCACACTACAGGCCCTGCAGCCAATGCAGTTGAAAGTGTAAAATTCCCCTCCCTCCCTCCTCACTTAGACCCTCTAGGACTGCCTGGCACTTTCTCTACAAACCGACATTGCTTGCCTACTTCCTTCCAACCAACTCCACGTATTTCTGCCCCTAAATCCAGCAAGATGTTTTCCACCAGGTCTCCCTCCTTCATTTTCCCCTCAGGCTTTTGTCTTCCTCTCAACAGCACTGCTTGAAAGCTTCTTCTGCCCACTCTCTGCTATATAGTCATGCTTTCCCCTAGGCCTACTCTTCCTGTTCAGCTTCAGCCAGGAAGAAAAAAAAGACCGCAGTTAAACTGCCCTTTCACTCGTCTCACAGAAGCTGCGCTCTTTGCAGCATTCCGTTCCCGACACTCACTTCTACTCCAGTCAGCACATGTTCCACGGACATTCCGTGACATCAGAACAGCTCAGCCAATAGCTGTTGGGGTTGCAGAAAGGCAGGCGCGAGATAGGTGGCTTTCAGATCATGATATATATATATATACAGTGGTGCCTCGCAAGACGAAATTAATCCGTTCCGCGAGTCTCTTCGTCTTGCGGTTTTTTCGTCTTGCGAAGCACGGCTATTAGCGGCTTAGCGGCTATTAGCGGCTTAGCGGTTATTAACGGCTTAGCGGCTATTAACGGCTTAGCGGCTTTAAGAAAAAGGAAACAAACTCACAAGAACTCGTAAGACGTTTTGTCTTGCAAAGCAAGCCCATAGGGAAATTCGTTCAAATCCATCACTTTCTCCATATTACTCACGTAAGAAGTATATATTAGAAGTGGCATTGGGTTTCTTCTTGCAGATATAGGGCAGGGCCATGCTGCAGTCACGGTTCTGCCATTCCCCTGACGACTCTGTCCGTATCACCCCACAGTTTTCTTCGCTGGGGTTGTCAGGCTGATCTGCAAGGGGCGGCAGGAGGAGATCACCAACCTTTGCAACTATGGCTGTTATTTACCTAGAAAAGCACAGCCTGGGAGTGCTTTGCTGTGCGGCAAGGGGCAAAACCACACCCGAGGATGTCATCTGAGATCAGTTCTGAATCTCAAATACAGAGGCTGTGCACACACATTTAAAACACATGGCTCCCCCCCCCCAAAAAAAAGAATCATGGGAACTGTAGCTCATGCCCTCCCTGAACTATAATTCCCATAACGAACTACAGTTTTCAGGATTTTGGGTGGAATCCTGTGCTTTAAATATATGGTGTGGAGGCAGCCTATGCATTTACAGTGGTACCTCGGGTTACAGACACTTCAGGTTACATACGCTTCAGATTACAGACTCCGCTAACCCAGAAATAGTACCTCAGGTTAAGAAGAAGAAGAAGAAGGAGGAGGAGGAGGAGGAGGAGTTTGGATTTGCTATCCCACTTTATCACTACCCAAAGGAGTCTCAAAGCGGCTAACATTCTCCTTTCCCTTCCTCCCCCACAACAAACACTCTGTGAGGTGAGTGGGGCTGAAAGACTTCAAAGAAGTGTGACTAGCCCAAGGTCACCCAGCAGCTGCAGGTGGAGGAGCGGAGACCCGAACCTGGTTCCCCAGATTACGAGTCTATCGCTCTTAACCACTACACCACACTGGCTCTCTAAGAACTTTGCTTCAGGATGAGAACAGAAATTGTGCTCCGGTGGCGTGGCAACAGCGGGAGGCCCCATTAGCTAAAGTGGTGCTTCAAGTTAAGAACAGTTTCAGGTTAAGAACGGACCTCCAGAACAAATAAAGTACGTAACCAGGGATACCACTGTGTTCCAATGAGAATCGGAATAAGAAATGCCCTTTGGATGTTGTTGTTGAGACTTGGAAGAGGCAGGCAGTGGGGCAGCTATGGTTGGTGCCTTCTGGCCGAACTCACAAGGCCCCACAACCCACCCACCCACAATTACAGCAGCCGATGGGGCAGTGGCAAACAGGCTTGGTGTCAGCAGTTGGGTACCATGGGGCCGATGCTGGTTGCTGCAGTATCCTTAAGACTCATAGAATTGCAGAGTTGGAAGAGACCCTTAGGATCCAATCCCCCACAATGAAGGAATATGCAGGTGGTCCCATACTGAGATCAAACCTGCAACCACGCTCTAAAGCAGGGCTCCATGCTCTAAAGCAAATTTTTTCAGCAGGGGGCCGGTCCACTGTCCCTCAGACCTTGTGGGGGGCCAGACTATATTTGTGGGGGAGGGATGAACAAATTCCTATGCCCCACAAATAACCCAGAGATGCATTTTAAATAAAAGGGCTCATTCTACTCATGTAAAAACAAGCTGATTCCTGGACTGTCCGTGGGCTGGATTTAGAAGGCGATTGGGCGAGATCTGGCCCCCAGGCCTTAGCTTGCCTACCCATGCTCTAAAGAACTGAGCTATTCAGGTTTGTCCATTGATCTTCTTGCTTTAATATATATATACAGTGGTACCTCAGGTTAAGTACTTAATTCGTTCCTGAGGTCCGTTCTTAACCTGAATCTGTTCTTAACCTGAAGCACCACTTTAGCTAATGGGGCCTCCTGCTGCCGCTGTGCCGCCGCTGCACAATTTCTGTTCTCATCCTGAAGCAAAGTTCTTAACCTGAAGTACTATTTCTGGGTTAGCAGAGTCTGTAACCTGAAGCGTATGTAACCTGAGGTACCACTGTACAGAGAGAGAGAGAGAGAGAGAGAGAGAGAGAGAGAGAGAGACAGACAGAGAGAGAGACAGACAGAGAGAGTGAGTGTCAAGAAATGGCCAAGCACCAATGTACAGAATACTCGTTTCATTATTTACTTTAGAACCATTACATCCTTTTCTACAACAAGCAAATATGATGCTTACTCCCAAGTAAATGCATTCAGCGTAAGCAAAACCCATTTTATTCCCGTAGTCCAGATGGCTAGTTTAAAATGAGAAACTCCACATGCTCCTTTAAAAAAAAAAAATCAGAATTCACAAAGTGTTTCTTGCTCTGCTTTATCAGAAACCTAGAAGCAGTTTTAAAGTATGGAGGGGAGCTGGGAGGGAATGAAGAAGAGAAATGTGAATTGTTTGCTTCACAACAGCCCACAATACACATGGGCATCAAAAGCCCCCCACTGCAAAAAAGAAGAAGAGGAAAAAAGGTCACTAAGTCTGGGGTTTTAAATTATCTAGCTGCATCACTGAAGGCAGGAGAGAATTTATACTGCACAGCTGAAGAGCTTGATTTGCCAACAGGGATGCAAGTTCAAGTGACTGCTCAGGGATGACATTTGTGGGCTACCTTTGGCCAAACCAATATCAGAATATCAGACGGCTCTGGGGTTGCAGCGCTCATCTTGCTTTACAGGCCGAAGGAGCCGGTGTTCGTCCACAGACAGTTTTTCCAGGTCATGTGGCCAGCATGACTAAGCCGCTTCTGGCGAAACCAGAGCAGCGCACGGAAACACCGTTTACCTTCCCGCCGGTGTGGTACCCATTGATCTACTTGCACTGGCATGCTTTCGAACTGCTAGGTTGGCAGGAGTAGGGACCGAGCAACTGAAGCTCACCCTGTCGCGGGGATTCAAACCGCCAACCTTCTGATCGGCAAGCCCAAGAGGCTCAGTGGTTTAGACCACAGCGCCACCCGTGTAAAATTAGTCTCCAGTAAATACCAACAGCCTATGCCAGACATGTGGCTCATTTGTCAATTCACTGGGATAATTCACCCATCCTCTTGGTATTTTTCTTACTTACCACTCTCCCAGTTAAGGAACTTCAAAGGTGAGTTGTCTGACCACTGCCAGCCCCCGTTGAGGTCCAGATCATTAAGCCCAATCCACAGTGTGGAACCATATCCCGTTAGCAGTCCTGGTGTAGACAGGAAAAGGGCAGTCAGATCCTCTACCTTCTCAGCGTAAGACACATCCAGCAATGCAAGCATTTCCTGGTCCCTGACAGAACCCAGCCCCCACTCCCTCCAGCCACAGAGACCTCCCCAAATCTTGGACACTTGCCCTGCTGAACACATAACACAGCCTGATTGTCCCCAGATCCTATCTCTCTCATTTGCAAGAAGAGCCTGCCAGCTTTCCTTCTCTTCCAATACTCAAGAGATTCTGAATTTCTGCAGCAATACAGTCAAACCTCGGTTGTCGAACATAATCCGTGCCGGAAGCCCATTCAGCTTCCAAAACGTTTGACAACCGAGGTGCGGCCTCTAAAAAACGTTCGAAAACCAGAGCATTTACTTCCAGGTTTTCGGTGTTTGGGAGTCGAAACGTTCCAAAATGGAGGCGTTCGGTATCCAAGGTTTGACTGTACTGAAGAGCTGTTCCACCTGGCCTTTGGTTTGGACTCAGCCTGACCCTTATGTTTATTTCCCCTTATAGTCTTGATTTATCGGCTACCTTTAAAATGAGGCTGCATTTTAAATAGTATTTTAACCTGTATTTTAATTTTTATTTTATTTTCCCCCTATTACATTTTTACTGTGATTTTATTGGTGTTAGCCGGCCTGAGCCCGGCTCTAGACAGGGAGGGTGGAGTATAAATTATTATTATTATTATTATTATTATTATTATTATTATTATTATTATTATTTGAGAGAGACTGTGAGGGGAGAGACTCCATCAGGCAAGGCCTCCTTCCACCTGCGTTGCCCCGCCCTCTGCTGCTCAATGTGCATTGTATTGTTTTATGTACTGAGGCAATTATTGTAACTGTTGAGTGGATTTCTGTTTAACTTTTATATGTTGATATTATTTTATACTATTCTAATGATTGTTGTCATTATTCTAATGATGTAGGGATGTGGGTGGCGCTGTGGGTAAAAGCCTCAGCGCCTAGGGCTTGCCGATCGAAAGGTCGGCGGTTCGAATCCCCGCGGCGGGGTGCGCTCCTGCTGCTCAGTCCCAGCGCCTGCCAACCTAGCAGTTCGAAAGCACCCCCGGGTGCAAGTAGATAAATAGGGACCGCTTACTGGCGGGAAGGTAAACGGTGTTTCCGTGTGCTGCGCTGGCTCGCCAGATGCAGCTTGTCATGCTGGCCACATGACCCGGAAGTGTCTGCGGACAGCGCTGGCCCACGGCCTCTTGAGTGAGATGGGCGCACAACCCCAGAGTCTGTCAAGACTGGCCCGTACGGGCAGGGGTACCTTTACCTTTACCTTTAATGATTGTTGAATGTTGCTTTTTTGATGTAGGTTGCCTATTTTAAAGTTACGTTTTATTATCATATTTCTGTATTGCATTAGATTGTTATAAGGTGTACATTTTTTGTTTCTTCAGCTTGTAAACCGCCTTGAGTATTGTAAGATAGAAAGGCGGTATACAAATTAAAAATGAAATGAAATCCGCTGCAGAATCTCAAGTGATCACAGAACTGCAACTCCAAATCTCCTGTCGCTGTTCAGAAACACATTTGCACTTATGTTATAAAGTGACTGGCCCACTTTCCCAGAGTCAGTCCTCAGTATAGCCCCTTCCCAAACCGAGTTCCCACTCACTGAAGTAGACCAGGAGAACAAACATGACTGGAACGGCCTTTTGCTGGTGTGCATGTACACAGGGAGAAAGGCAGTCAGGGCATCCTGCACACTTTTGGAAGCAGGGTGTGATGGCCTGGGAATCTTTTTCAGAAGCTGAATCTGAGGACTCCCAGCCTGCACAGGAGTCCCCGCCTCCAGGGCCGGCTGAGCTGGGGCAGGGGCTTGAATCTGAAGGGCCCTCACCTGTGCCAGGTCCTCAGGAGCAGACACCAGATGTATCCACTCTGGCTCCGGAGGTGATTGAGGACCCATTGCCTGCAGGTGCGCCTCTCCCAGCCCCGTCAGGGGAAGGTGAAGCTGCCCCTGGGTCCAGTAACCCTCCAGCCTCTCCTGAGCTGCAGAGGCTCAGGGCAGAGAGGCAGAGGGAACTAAGTTCTCTCAGGAGGAGTGCTCGCCTTAAGGCCAGGAGACGCGGGTCACCTGTGGACTGGGAGAGGAGATAAAGGCCAGTCAGCCCAGTCCCAGGTTGCAGGAGCAACGTCGTTGGAAACCTGTTTCTGCCAGCACACAGAACTGTTCTTCCGGAGTTCCTGACCACGCCCGGCTTCTTGCTTTGGACCCCGCTTCGCCCTTGGTGGACAGTCTCCAGACCCTTGACCCAGGACCGGACTCTGACCACACCTCTCGGTACCCCCCCCCCAGGTCCAGCACACAGGGACTCCTTCAGTTCCCTGTGCCCATTGCTCACCATTGATGTAGGTCTGTTCATGGACCTCAGTGATGCTCAGCAGGCTGGCTCCTTGCTGCTCACAGCTCTTCCCAGCCTCCTGCCAAGACAGGGTGGACTGGAAGTTGAACTGGTAGCAGCTGTTGGTGAGCTGGTCCCTGTCCCAAAATGTATCGCAGTCATCGCCTAAGAGGACAGACAAAAAAGAAAGAAAGAAGGGCATTTACTACTGCAAGTTAACGTGACCATTATCCATTATCCAACAGACACCCTGGGGGCAGCTATCTGCAGGTAGTATCAAAGGGGAATCGTCCCTTTTGAAGACCACAATGGAATGGGAGGTGGAAAGGAGACACACACACACACACATATATATATATAGAGTGGTACCTCGGGTTACATATGCTTCAGGTTACATACGCTTCAGGTTACAGACTCCGCTAACCCAGAAATAGTAAGAAAGAAGATATCAGTCTGTACCTGTGCAAGAGTCGTCAACAGGCTCATCACAGCTATCTGCCAATCACCCATTCCCACCACCCTTCTGAGTAATACCCCTCCCCACCTTCTCACTATATAGAAGGATCTGGCTACTTCTGTTTCAGTGTATCTGAAGAAGTGTGCATGCACACGAAAGCTCATACCAAGAACTAACTTAGTTGGTCTTTAAGGTGCTACTGGAAGGAATTTTTTTTGTCCAGAAATAGTACCTCGGGTTAAGAACTTTGCTTCAGGATGAGAACAGAAATTGCGTGCTGGAGGCACAGCAGCAGCGGGAGGCCCCATTAGCTAAAGTGGTGTTTCAGGTTAAGAACAGTTTCAGGTTAAGAACGGACCTCCGGAACAAATTAAGTACGTAACCAGAGGTGCCACTGTGTGTGTGTGTTTGTGTGTACACACACACAATTTTTATTAAAATTTCTGTTTTACAATTTAAAATACTCATTTTACACCCCTGAGATATCAATGACTTCCCTTCTTCTCTTTCCATGGTTCATTTTACATATCATAAAGGTAAATGGTAAAGGGACCCCTGACCATTAGGTCCAGTCGTGGCCGACTCTGGGGTTGTGGCGCTCATCTCGCTTTACTGGCTGAGGGAGCCGGCGTACAGCTTCCGGGTCATGTGGCCAGAATGACTAAGCCGCTTCTGGCGAACCATAGCAGCACACAGAAATGCCGGTTACCTTCCTGCCGGAGTGGTACCTATTTATCTACTTGCACTTTGACGTGTTTTCGAACTGCTAGGTTGGCAGGAGCAGGGACCGAGCAATGGGAGTTCACCCCATCGCAGGGATTCGAACTGCCAACCTTCTGATTGGCAAGTCCTAGGCTCTGTGGTTTTACCCACAGCACCACCCACATCCCTTACATATCATAAATCCCTGCATATTTTACAGAAACTATACCATTCAGTATTCCATTATTAAACCCACCATCACTTATTTATACTACTGAATTTATCTTAATGCTGCCAACGTTTTCAGCTGTACACAATTATTTCCCATATAGTCAATAAACGGTTTCCAATCTTCTTTAAACTTATGTCCCTCTTGTTCTCTTATTTTATATTCCCTCGTACCTACGGGACCGCCTCTCCTGGTATGTCCCACAGAGAAATCTACGGTCTGCAAATAAAAACATCCTAAAGATCCCAGGCCACAAAGAGGTTAGGCTGGCCTCAACTAGAGCCAGGGCCTTCTCGGTCGCGGCTCCAATCTGGTGGAACACTCTGTCACAAGAGACTAGGGCCCTGCAGGACCTGACATCCTTCCGCAGGGCCTGCAAGACAGAGCTGTTCCACCAGGCCTTTGGTCAGGGCGCAGCCTGACCCCCTCCTCTGGGGGAAGGCAATCTGCACAGAATTTGGCTTGATGGTTGCCATTAATTTGATGTTAATTTGATTTAATTAATTTTATAATGAATGTTTTAGAATGTCGGATTATTTTGATTGTTGTTAGCCGCCCTGAGCCCAGCTTCGGCTGGGGAGGGCGGGATATAAATAAAATTTATTATTATTATTATTATTATTATTATTATTATTATTATATGTTAAGTCTGCAAGTTGTGCATATTCTGTCAACTCTAGTTGCCATTAGAATGTCTTTGGTTGGGACCTTGCTCATTTTCCATTTTTGGGCTAACAAAACACGGGCCGCAATAGTGGCATACATAAATAACCTTTTTTGACACCTGGGAATTTCAGTCTGAATTAGCCCCAACAGAAAGGACTCTTTTTTTGGGGGGGGGAGTACTTTTAAACATTTTTTTCAATTCATTACAGTTCATTTCCCAATATTCTTTTACCCTTTAACACGTCCACCACATATGAAAGAACATTCCCTCTGCCTCTTTACACTTCCAGCACTTATCTGATCAGTCTTACACATCCTAAAAAACCTACTCAGAGTTAAATACCATCTGTGATTCATTTTCATATAGTTCTCCTTCAAAGAATAACTTTTCCAGAGGTTTAGGGAAGGCTTTTTCCAGCCTCTGTGTTCTGTGACAGGGTCCTGTGAGGTGCGGGCAGAGGAGAGAAGGCAGTGACTATACCTTATACAGTCATACCTCATGTTGTGTTTGCTTCAGGTTGAGTGTTTTCAGTTTGCGTCCGGGTTACTTCCGGGTTTCACCGCTCGCACATGTGCAGATGCGCTAAATGACATCACACACATGTGCAGAAGCGACAGGTCGCGACCTGCACACACCCAGATGCGGGTTGTGTTCCTTTCAGGTTGCGAACGGGCCTCCGGTACGGATCCCGTTCACAACCAGAGGTACCACTGTACTTTATACAGTGGTACCTCTGGTTACGTACTTAATTCATTGCGGAGGTCCGTTCTTAACCTGAAACTGTTCTTAACCTGAAGCACCACTTTAGCTAATGGGGCCTCCCGCCGCCGCCAGGCGATTTCTGCTCTCATCCTGAAGCAAAGTTCTTAACCCGAGGTACTATTTCTGGGTTAGTGGCGTCTGTAACCTGAAGCGTATGTAACCTGAGGTACCATTGTAGCAGGAATAAGAGAACATGGGACAGCAGTTTGGGAATGGCGATACGGCCTTCTATAGGCTTGCACTCCTTCCTTATCTTTCAAACTGAGCACTCTGGGAAGCACCCATTCAATGTCTGTTTTATTTTATATACATTTGTAAGATATTTAACTCACTTTGAGCCCTGAGGGTAAAGGACAGTCTCAAATTAATGTGTATTACCCTTTGTCACGATACAGGAAAGAGACCGATCATTGGTGTCCTTCTATACCAGACTTCCTCAACCTCGGCCCCCCAGATGTTTTGAGACTACAATTCCCATCACCCCTGACCACTGGTCCTGCTAGCTAGGGATCATGGGAGTTGTAGGCCTAAAAACATCTGGAGGGCCAAGGTTGAGGATGCCTGTTCTATACAGTACTACAGCTTCTGCAGCACTTGCATGCCTATCTTATCTATTTACGGCGAACGCTACTTGTTTTGGTCCCTTGTCCCTGGACACCAGCATGGAATATTCATCAATACTCCAACTCTTGAGGGGGAAGACTGAATCACAGAAAACAGTGCAACCGCTCAGGGCATGTGTGTGTGAACGGGACACTTACAGAAGGGTAATTTTGGAAACCAAAACCCTGGAGGCTTAGAAGGCAGAAGGAAACCTCCCATGGTGCCTTAAGAAAGGAGGACTGTTTTTCGGTTCAACAGTTGGCACAACCATCTGTTCACTCCTGTGGTTTGGCTGCTACATGCCCATCAGTCCCCGTGATTTCCCACCCCACAGAAGCAGCTTACTCTTAATGGGGCAGAACCCCCATCTTTCATCTTTGCCGTAATCCTGTGTGGTGGCACACCAGAGGTGACCATCTCCACGCCCCATGCTGGTGCAGTCATAGAACCACTGGTTGTCGTACTTGAAGGGGATGGTACAGGGCTTCCCGTGAGAGTTGCCTTGAATGGTGTAAATTTCTGGAGGAAGAGAAGAGAGAGATAAAACACACAGAGAGAAAGAGCTCATATGGAGAGTCCTTCTTTGATATGGAGAGAGAGAGACTGCTTATCATTTAACCCCAAAGGCCTTGGCAACCTACAGGTGAAACTCGGAAAATTAGAATATCATGGAGAAGCTCTTCTGCATTGCTGGGTCTCATGTCTCTCATCTGTCTCTTGACTAATCTCTTTTCTGGTGAGAGCAGCTTTTGCATCTCATTTGGAAACCAAGGACCCAGAGTCTGGAGGAAGAATGGGGAGGCACACAATGCCAGATGCTTGAAGTCCAGTGTGAAGTTTCCATAGTCTGGGTTGATTTGGGGGGCCATGTCATCAGCTGGTGTTGGTCCACTGTGCTTCATTAAGTCCATGGTCAACGCAGCCATCTACCAGGAGATTTTGGAACACTTCATGCTTCCTTCCAAAGACGAGCTTTATGGGGATGCTGATTTCATTTTCCAGCAGGACTTTGGCACCTGCCCACACTGCCCAAAGTACCAAAACCTGGTTCAATGCCCATGGGATTACTGTGCTTGATTGGCCAGCAAACTCGCCTGACCTGAACCCCATTGAGAATCTATGGGGCATTGCCAAGAGAAAGATGAGAGACATGAGACCGAGCAATACAGAAGAGCTGAAGGCTGCTATTGAAGCATCCTGGTCTTCCATAACACCTCAGCAGTGCCACAGGCTGATCACATCCATGCCACGCCGCATTGAGGCAGTAATTGATGCAAAAGGGGCCCAAACCAAGTACTGAGTACATATGCATGCTTCTACTTCTCAGAGGCCCAATATTGCTCTATTTGCAGTCCTTGTTTTGCTGATTTCGTTTAAAATTCTAATTTTCTGAGATTGTTAATTTGGGCTTTTCATCAGCTGTATGCCATGATCATCAGAATTATAACAAATAAAGGCTTGACATATCTCGCTTTGCATGTCATGAGTCTATCTCATATATTAGTTTCACCTTTTAAGTTGAATTACTGAAATTAATGAACTTTTCCACAATATTCTAATTTTCCGAGTTTCACCTGTATGTTCTTGCAGCCCTAAGTTAACATTCAACACGCCGTTCCACAACTCCTCCGGCTAGCTGTGCCCTCACAGCATACCCTGCCTGACTTCAAATTAATCCAGCACATATTTGGGCTGGCGGGCTGCTCCCCTGAGCACATGATGAAATTTTTTCCACATGCACCGAGAGTATGCGCGCACTGCTGCGCTACCAAAACAAACATGAAAATCCTGCATCAAGCGGACACAGGGCTTGTTTGTTAGTGGAAGGATGCTGACTGAAGCACAGCTGGCTGAAAAAGCTTCAAGGTCATCAAACTAGCAGAAGGCAAAGACATCAAATAAGACCATTTGCATCTGAGCCCCTAAATATTCAGCAGGGAAACTGATCTCTCACAGGGTTTGGAAATGTACATGCGTTGGGCTTAATTCCCAAAGCAAAGGGTTTAGTCTATTTACTGCGGCAAAAATAGGAGACACTTAAAAAAGGTCTTCCCGACTATTCAATCCAGAATTGGTTCGCAAGGTTTTGGGGTTTGGCATTGTCTGAAAAGTTAGCACATCAAAAGCGGACTGGGAAGAGGCAAAGCAAAACAAGAACTTCTTTGAAATGCGATTCCCCCCTTCCTCTCCTAATATATCAACAACCGCAGAGGTGGTGAGGATTTGCCCTCTGTGAGCTCATTTGTCCTTTCAGAAAGACACACTGACTTGACTTATGAATTTTGGGCTACGACTCTATTCATATTCGTAAACCGCTCTCTGGTCCAAGTTCTGAGTTTCTTGTTCATTTGGTCGCCTTGCAATACATGTATATATACTCAGGTATTTTTTCTCTCCCAAAAAAGTCTGCATCAACATAGCCCCAATTTTCTGCCAAAGAACAGCTCAGTTCCGTGAAGTAAATAAATTACTCAAATTAAACAAAAACGGCATTTTTGTCGTGCACTTATTTTGAAGAAAGGTTAAAGAGCACTGGAACACGGATTCTCTGGAAATTTGGTCCTCCATCTAGCGCCTTAGATTCTATCAGGTACCTGCCCATGTACCTCTGCCTATCTTTGCAGCCTTGAGGGACAGAAAAGCAACCTTTCACAGAACAGTTCAGTTCCACATCACAGAGTGGTTTTATGCTGCAATTTAGAACACACATAGGTTTGGTGAAAGAGGGTTCCATCCAGGCTAAATTAGTTGAACTTTAATCCTGCGCTCATTTTAGTGGAACCTTCGTTAGTCATGGCTAACTTTCCTCGCTGGAAATCGAAGGGTGCTCCCAGACAGGGACAATTTAGCAGCACAGTATCGCTGTTCTGATTTAAGCTGGAAGTGGAATAGCCACTCTAATACCCTGTAGCCAAAGGGCAATCTCTCTTTCCCCAGCCCTGTAAGTTAAGAGAGAATCTGCTCTGGGACCACTGTGTGAGGATAAAAAAGGTAAAGGGACCCCTGACCATGAGGTCCAGTTGTGGCCGACTCTGGGGTTGCAGCGCTCATCTCGCTTTATCGGCCGAGGGAGCAGGCGTACAGCTTCTGGGTCATGTGGCCAGCATGACTAAGCCGCTTCTGGCGAACCAGAGCAGCACATGGAAACGCCGTTTACCTTCCCGCTGGAGCAGTACCTATTTATCTACTTGCACTTTGATGTGCTTTCAAACTGCTAGGTTGGCAGGAGCAGGGACCAAGCAACGGGAGTTCACCCCGTCACGGGGATTCGAACCGCTGACCTTCTGATCGGCAAGTCCTAGGCTCTGTGGTTTAACCCACAGCGCCACCCGCGTCCCTACTGTGTGAGGATAAAGGATTACAAACTCTCTCCCCCTGCCTCACTACCAATCACAGTTGCCTTCAACTGCAGTCTCTTTTTTTGGCGGTGGGGGAAACCAGATTTAAAGGTAGTATTATTTAAGTAAATGGAAGGGTTATTGTGACTCAGCTGATTCGGAGGAGAGCTAGACCCTAGAGAAGGAAATGGTTAGAACGCAATCGACAAAACAGCTGAGCAATCTCCAAAGGCCATATGATCTAACCCAGGCATGGCCAAACTTGGCCCGCCAGCTGTTTTTGGGACTACAATTCCCATCATCCCTGACCGCTGGTCCTGTTAGCTAGGGATGGTGGGAGTTGTAGTCGCAAACCAGCCAAAATTTTAATGAAATGGATCATCTAAACCTGGAGAAAATGTACAACTGTTCTATTGAGCTATAAAGGTCAGAATTTTTGAGCTATGAATAAAAACAAAATCTGAACTGCAAACATGTTTATTTTATTTTGTAAAATTTGTACACAGCTTGATTGTGGGGGGGCAAAAAAAAGCCTCAAAGGGGTTTACGAAAAGATAAAGTGTGTGTGGGGGGGTGCTTTGTTAAGATATTTTGCAGATTCCTCATTGAAAGTGAGTAAAAGCGCAGCTATTTCATAGCAGGAGCCCAGTGTGGAAACAGCCAGAAGGCAACCAACTTAACCTGGATTCAAACTAAAGCAATTTAAACCACAATTTCACTATGCAGCTGTTTCCAATGCAAACTGAGGCTGATGTTTGAACTTAAGCGTTATTTAGACTGAATGGTGGTCGGTGGCTTTGGCGACGGCCCAGACTTTGGCAAAATGAAACTCAAGAGAGACAGTTAAAATATGGTGGGAAGGCAGTGAGCATCGCGGATGAGAGGCAAAGAATCGAGGACCCATCTTTCAGAAACACAGCACCATTTTCCCATTTGGCTTTTACAAACAGTTGGAAATTTCTGACGCTCCACTCAACTATGATTTGTAGAGCAATCCTAAGCTCTGAAAACTCCTACAACTCAGTGCATAACGTAGAAGGAACCACTTTTGCTGTGCTAGACCCACCACTGGTGCAGCTTAGAGAGCCACCTTCTGAATTCGCACAGCAAACCCGTGAAACACATACAGTGGTACCTTGGTTCTCGAACTAAATGCGTTCCGGGAGTCCGTTCGACTTCACAAAACGTTCGAAAACCAAGGCACGGCCTCCGATTGGCTGCAGGAACTTCCTGCACTCAATTGGAAGCCGTGTTGGACATTTGGCTTCTGAAAAACGTTCGCAAACCAGAACACTCACTTCTGGGTTTGCAGGATTCGGGATCCGGTTTGTTTTGGAGTCAATCCGTTCGACTACCAAGGTACCACTGTGCTACCAGCAGCAGCAAAGAATGAGAAAGAATAAATTCCAATTCTCTACTAGAGGCTTTACCCGAATACGGCCTGGAGCACAAATCTTCATCGTGGCCATAGATCTTCCACTGGCCTCCTCGTGCCTGATCGCCCCTCTCCGATGGTGTCAGTGACCAGTTCCCCAACCGGGAGCTCAAATACTGGGAAAGCTGGTCACCCAGGCTCCGGCAGTTCCACCGCATGTTGACAGATTCCCGGTCGCACTCATAGGTGCCTAGTGCCTGGGCTGTTGCGCTGGAGTTTGCAGACTTCCAGGAGACCCCCAAGCACTGCATGGTCCCAACGTTGAAAAGCCGGTTCCGGGAAACCCATTTCCACTTCTGAGCTGGGAGGCTGGTGTTGCAGCTCTTGGAAATTTTCACTAGAGAGTCCTTAGTCTCCAAGCAGCCTTGCAGACCACTGCTATAGATGAGGAATATCCCAGAGTCTGTGAAAATTAAAACAAAATATAGTCATACCTCGGGTTACAGATGCTTCAGGTTGCGTTTTTTTGGATTGTGGACTCACCAAAACCCAGAAGTACCGCAACAGGTTACTTCCAGGTTTCGGCGGTCGCGCATACGCAGAAATGCTAAATCGTGCTTTGCACATGCGCAGAAGTGCCAAATTACAACCCGTGCATGCGCAGATGTGCCGCTGCGGGTTGCAAACACTGCGGGTTGCAAACCTGCATCCCGCACGGATCACATTCGCAACCCGAGCGTCCACTGTATACTTTTATATACAGTGGTACCTTGGGTTACATACACTTCAGGTTACATACGCTTCAGGTTACAGACTCCGCTAACCCAGAAATATTACCTCAGGTTAAGAACTTTGCTTCAAGATGAGAACAGAAATCGTGCAGCGGCGGCGCAGCGGCAGCAGGAGGCCCCATTAGGTAAAGTGGTGCTTCAGGTTAAGAACAGTTTCAGGTTAAGAACAGACCTCGAGAACGAATTAAGTTCTTAACCTGAGGTAAAGGGACCCCTGACCATTAGGTCCAGTTGTGACCGACTCTGGGGTTGCGGCGCTCATCTCGCTTTATTGGCTGAGGGAGCCGGTGTTTGTCTGCAGACAGCTACTGGGTCATGTGGCCAGCACGACTAAGCCGCTTCTGGCGAACCAGAGCAGCGCACAGAAACGCCGTTTACCTTCCCGCCGGAGTGGTACCTATTTATCTACTTGCACTTTGTGCTTTCGAACTGCTAGGTTGGCAGGAGCAGGGACCGAACAACGGGAGCTCACCCCGTCGCAGGGATTCGAACCGCCGACCTTCTGATAGGCAAGTCCTAGTCTCTGTGGTTTAACCCACAGCACCACCCATGCCCCTTCCTAACCTGAGGTACCACTGTGTAAAAAAAACCCCTCCATGTAGTTAGCAACTCCCTGTCACAGAGAGGACCATCCTCACAACAACACAGGTCAATCCACTAATTCAGAGGCCAGGTTGCTCATCAAGGCAAGACACCTTGAACCTATTATATTGATCCTGGCCTGACTGCACTGGCCGACAATTAAGTTTATGAGCCCAAATCAAAGCGCTGGATTTGACCTACAGTGCTTTAAAAGACTCAGGACTGCAATATCTCAAAGGCCGCCTCTCCCCCATATGAACTGACCCGGACCCTGCAATAATAATCATCTGAGGCCCTTCTTTGTGTGCCCCCTCCATGAGAGGTCCGGAGGGTGACAACATGAGAAAGGGCCTTTTCTGCAGTGGCTCCCCGTTTGCAGCATGCTCTCCCCAGAGAGGCTCACCTGGGGCCTTCAAAACATACCTTTAGGCACCAGTCAAGTGTTACGTTCTACTCAGGATGCGAACGGGGCTCCGGAACGGATCCCGTTTGCATCCAGAGGTACCACTGTACTATATTTTGTGTTCTTATTTTGTAATTTTATGTTCCCCTGTGATCTTTGGAGTAAGGTTGGTATACACACTTAATAAACAAATGAATGAAATGAAATGAAATGAAAACCTGAGTTAGAGCAGGCATAATGTGGAATAGGGCCCAGATCTGGTGGGATCTGCTTTCAATAGCCCCATAACAGCTCTGCAGGAATCAAGTACGAGGTAGTTTCCCAGATGGCAGGGGCAGCCAACCAGAATAGCACTGTATACAACCACCTCTGACTATGAAAACATGCATTCTTGCAGAACCACATTTTACTTGCCGCTTTGCTTAAAACCCCAAACGGTTATGAAAACCTGCAATTACCTTCTCGCACCAAGCCAATCTCCTTAGCAAAGTTTCTCACAAGACCCAGGCCATAGCTGGAGTCGGGCTTTTGCCTTGTTTCTGGCTTAAGGGCAAGGTTTTCAGCTGATGAGATGTTCCTTCTAGATTTTATACAATGTGCTGTTCAGATGAGCATAACTCTTCCGTCAGCAGAATGTGAGGGGAACTGGTTTTCCTCCTGTAGCTCCCTCCCTTCCATAATTGTGCTCCAAAGGGTTGGGGAAACCTCCGCAGGGGAATCGCCAGAAATCGATTGCTTCCATGTCCTGCTGACGGAAGCCATACTAACACAATACAACCATCTCAAACCCTCCAAGCGTCCCTATTTCCCAGGAACAGCCCCAAATTTACAGAAGCCGTTTCTGATTTGATCCCGGAATGTCCCGCTTTTCCCTTAGGACGTCCCTATTTTCCTCAGAGAAATGTTGGAGGGTATCAGGGTGGATTTGATTTAAATCAAATCTATTTAAATCATGATTTAAATTACTAGTCGCTGTGGTCTAAACCACTGAGCCTCACAGGCTTGCCGATCAGAAGGTCGGTGGTTCGAATCCCCGCGACGGGGTGAGCTCCCGTTGCTCGGTCCCTACTCCTGCCAACCTAGCAGTGTGAAAGCACGCCAGTGCAAGTAGATAAATAGGTACCGCTCCGGTGGGAAGGTAAATGGTGTTTCCGTGCGCTGCTCTGGTTCACCAGAAGTGGCTTAGTCATGCTGGCCACATGACCCGGAAAAACTGTCTGCGGACAAACGTCGGCTCCCTCAGCCTGTAAAGCGAGATAAGCGCCACAACCCCAGAGTCGTCTGCAACTAGACTTAACTGTCAAGGGTCCTTTACCTTTTTAATACTTGATTTAAATCACGAGTCAGTAAGACTTGATTTAAATCATATTTTTTACAGAAAGACTCATTCTTGCTGGTATAATCTTAATATTTACAACCAGAAGAAGGTTTCATCTTTGGAATAATAAATTTTCAGAGTTGTTTTTACATTTCTATCAAAAATTACTGATTTGGTTATACTATTAGAAATACAAAGACAGGTAATTATGAAATTATTGTTTATATTTGGACAACTTTTCTGCTGTACTTTATTGGAAGGAGAAAAATAATCATTTCCTTAATAACAATTTAAACAATTTATTTAACTATGTATCCATGCTTGTTAACTGATGTGGTTAAACGATTTTTTTTTAAAAAACCACAACCTTAGACTGAGTTTTAGCACACATGAAAAACTTAAAACAAATCCTTATTTCCTGATGAATAGCATTTGGACTATAATGTAACTTGAATAGAAAACTATCTTTAGAAAGATTTTTCCTCCAAAATCATTTTATTTTAAAAATCCGATTTAAATAAAAAAAATCTGATTTAAATTTTAAAAATCCTTTTTTTTGTGTGTGTGTTTTTAAAATCACTAATTTTTATCCACCCTGGAGGGTATGGAGTTATGTGACCCACCGAGCCAAGGAGATAAGTAACTAGACAACCTTATAGGGAAACTTTTTTTAATGTTCAATGTTTTATTATGTTTTTATATAGGCTGGAAACTGCCCAGAGTGACTAGGGCAACCCAGTCAGATGAAAGGGGAACTGTTGTTGTTGTTGTTGAATAGGACATCCCTATTTTCATTGGGGGGACGCGGGTGGCGCTGTGGGTAAAAGCCTCAGCGCCTAGGGCTTGCCGATCGAAAGGTCGGCGGTTCGAATCCCCGCGGCGGGGTGCGCTCCCGTCTTTCGGTCCCAGCGCCTGCCAACCTAGCAGTTCGAAAGCACCTTCGGGTGCAAGTAGATAAATAGGGACCGCTTACAAGCGGGAAGGTAAACGGCGTTTCCGTGTGCGGCTCTGGCTCGCCAGAGCAGCGATGTCACGCTGGCCACGTGACCCGGAAGTGTCTCTGGACAGCGCTGGCCCATGGCCTATAGAGTGAGATGGGCGCACAACCCTAGAGTCTGGCAAGACTAGCCCGTACGGGCAGGGGTACCTTTACCTTTTATTTTCATTGGGGAAATCTTGGAGGGTATGCCATATAGATATAGATATATATACATTTAATCATTCACTCTCAAGATCCCTTTCTGTGCAGGACTAAAAGGAGGCAATGGTGTCAGCACCCAGAAAAACAAAGGACAAGACATGACAGGTTCTGGGGAAAATGAGCTCTCCCGAGGCTTCGCCATGCTCCAGGATAGATGAGTTTAGAAACCATAAGGTCATACTCAACTGTCCAGACCAGAAAAAGAATTTGCGCCTATGACCAAAAGGGAGAGATCGGCTGACTCTAAAAACAGACAAAGGGCTAAAAGTAGAAAATTACCACTTGCAGGAGAGCTTAGAAAATTACAGCCGCTGGAGGTTTCAGAACCTTTTACAGGAGGGGCAAACACAAAGGCAAGTTACCTGAGGAGGGAAGAGCAAAGGCGCAAAATACTCTCTAAATACGGGACCTCCTAGTCCTGCCTTTGTGATCTAGCAAGTCTCACACAGGGAGTTGAAGTGCCGAAAAAATGGAGATAGGAATATATTTTCCTCCATTACATTTCCTGCTCTTCGGATGTGGCTGTATGACGCGGAGCCATAATATGCTGTCTAAACATATTCTTAGCCTTTTTTAATTAAAAAAAACACACACACCCTGAAATGTGAATTTCAGCATTGCTAAGGATGCTTCCAGACTGCTGACTCCTGCCACAACCCGAGCGTTGCTCTACTGTCGTAAATGGCTAGCAGAATCCCAACCGGTGCCGGATTAAACCCTGCGGAGGCCCCTAGGCAGTCAAAATCTTGGGGGTCCCCTCACAAACTTTAGGAGATAAGAAAGCTTGATTGACACTTTCTTTCAAGATCAGTATTTCAAAATCAATTATGATTTTGATCCGTTGTCCCAGCGCCCACAGGCCAGTGCCTAATCTGCCTACAGTCATACCTTGGGTTACAACCACTTCAGGTTGTGTTTTTTCGGGTTGCGGACCGCCGAAACCCGGAAGTACCGGAACAGGTTACTTCTGGATTTTGGCAGTCGTGCATGTGCATTAGCGCTAAATTGCACTTTGCGCATAAGCGCTGTATCGCAACCCACGCGTGCACAGACGCGGGTTGCGAACGTGCATCCCACACGGATCACGTTTTCAACCTAAGCATCCACTGTATCTGGTAAACGGGCACTGATCCCGACCAACTTTCCACATTACGGCCACATCCACGCA